GGACGGGGCGGCGCGGGCAGCCTACGGCCTGGCGGCTGGGGGTCCGCCGCTCCGCGCTTGCGGAACATCCGACTGTGGGAGTTGCGCGCACTGGAACAAAATAAATCCCAAGGTGCGGAGTAGGTTGGAAGCGAGGGCTGCGGTCCTGCGCACGTGCCGGTGCAGTAGTGTGTGCCCCCGGCCCCCCCTCCCCGACCCACACCCGTCTTGTTTCCGCTGTCACAGCTCGGAGCCTTTTACTGCAGGTCTGCTCGCGTAACTTAGGGTCCGCGGCACGCGCCAGTTACTCCAGCTCTACGCTTCTGTGGCTGAAAAGCGAAGTAAGTCGTGTGGGTAGAGCAGGAAAAACATCTTTAACTCCAACTGTTACTGTTGTCTCACAATTTTAGGAAAGTGTGGAAATGTCTCCCTTTGAAAATAAAGGACTGATACTGGGCGTAATGGCAGGGACTGCTGGACTAAGCCTGATGCTGGTTTGGTACCATAAGATGCGAAAACCAGTTGTGCATATACCCGCATTCCTAGGTGCAGGTAATGGGCTTAACGCTGTGGGCTTGCAAAATGAAGCTCCTAATGAGCAAGAAGTAATAATGGTTTTACATGGAAGGCAACTGCAGATACTAGAAAAATTGAATGGCTTGCTAGTAAGCATGGACGAACTGAAGAGAGAGGTGAAATTTCTGAAAGAAGCTATTCCAGAGCTTGAAGAGCTTGTTCGAAATGAGCTTCAAGGGAAGGGAGGTGTTCAGAGAGTTAGCCCATCACACAGAGCAACGAAGCGGAGAAAAGCTGAGACAACTTCTGGTGCAACAGAAACTACCAGCTCTGAGGAGGCCGAAAGTGAAGGAGGGTGAGTCAATAATATTTTGTATATACTGCTGTACGCATACATTACAAATTGAATCATTACCTATGTGCAAGTTTTTATTGTAAACAGGAGCCCTTTTCAAGTTTTATGTATATTTTATATTTCTCTCTATTCCAGGAATAAAAAGAAAATCAAGTTAGTAATTGGATCAGAGATAACTGTGGGTGACCATCTCTAAACCTGCACTACAGCTTAAGTTGGCTAAGCACCAAACGTAATTTAAGGGTGCATTTGGTAACAATCTGATGAGGTATTGCTACATAGCTATGCAGTGAGAGGCAAAGTTCACAATAATGGTGTGATTTTAAAAGTGCTTCTGGTAAGAAAGTAGTCTTGTGTTTGTGGCAGAGTTTGGACAAACTATAGAAATGCTCTTGTGCTTTTCACATTAATTGTCTCCGATGGGCCTTAAAGATGAGTTATTACAGTGTTCCACATACAGGTATTACATGCTATGAAGGCTATGTCCAAAAGCAACACGTGCACAAATGGCACTATGTTTGTGTATACTTGCTGTTGTGTGCGTGTTCTGGTGGCTTAAAAAGTAATCGTGAGGGATTTAGGGTACTGACTCTATAAGGTAGAAAGTTCCTAGTTTTGATCACATCTTGTAGTCCCAGTGTGGTTAATGGGATCGTTTATACACCTGAGTTGAAGACCATGCTGAAGTATCAGGTGTACCTGGAGTCCAGGAGAGTGACTCTATTTTTGTCTTTTCATATGTTACCTAATGTAGCCTCCAGTAGTAGTGTAAAAATGGTGATGACATTGCTGTAATTGCAGATTTGTTTTGATATAAACTGATCGCATACTTACCTGCAATTTCATAAGGGTATGTTTACAGGAACTGAGTTTTTTGAACCGTCTCCTCGGTGTGTTATACGTACCCGTGTAGGCAGCACTACGTCTGTGAATGGCTTGTCTTTAAACCACTTTCTTTCTTTAAAGAGATATATTAATTACCTGTAGTGTTCTGAAGACAGCCACATGTTGCATATAATTACTGGAATTCTATTTTTAAGAGCCTCTCCAAGTTTATTTTCAGTTCCTGTGGGCAGAATTTCTTGTTGTGTTACATCCCAGCCCACTTGCTTCACAAGGCTTATATTTTGATACTGTATTTTGACACCTGTCAGTTCTATTCTGAACCAGTTCTTTATTTTAAGTGTTCAGTATTGTCAGGGGTATTCAAAAAGATTCCTCCTTCATACGGTGTAGAAACATTTCCGTTCTATTAGCTTCTCGGATTGTTTTTTCTCTTAGATGGTTTGCAGAGGCCTTTATGTTATGCATAAAATATTTGGAGATGTAGATAAGGCTAAAAGTACCAGTTTATGAGTAATCAGAGTCACAGATGCACTGTAGGGGTTATTCCACACTTTACATTTGAGAAGATCCCCTTTTCTGGTCAGGAGAGATGCGTTGCTGTTTGAGAACTAGCCAAGGAAACTTGTCCAGGTTCTTCTCTGTGACAAAGGCGCTGATGAGATGATCCAATACAAGTGATTAGAGTGTGTGAGAGCTTTGAATGTGGCCTTAAGAGGGGCCTTCTCTGACAAGTATTTGTGTACAGTCATACGGAAGGAAAATAATTCAGGGTTACAGATAGTGTTAATCATTTGGGTATGTGCATTTCCAATGCTGTTTTTTTTTAATCTCTTTTGAAAAGAGACGTGAAATATTTTTCCTCTTTGTTACAGGTTAAACATTTTTCCACTTTCTCTATTCTAGCTAAAGTACATGCAACGTGTTTCACTGCCTCAGTAGTATTTTCATGATCTAGAAGATAGGATTTTGCTTGTGCTAAGCAAGTCTGGTTTTAACTGACAAATGGGTAGATGCTGACAGAGGAAGTAATCTTCAAACTTTTATGGACTCGTGCTGGGTGACTACATTATTTTCAGATTTGTAAACTTCTTCTTGAAAATCTTTTAATACTGCCTGTTTTTTTAATAAAATAATTGTGTGTGGCAGTCTCTGACATGGGTCTCTGCTGACATGGGTCTCTGCTTTGATCTGCTCTGGTCATATTCTCAGTGTCACTGTTGGTATTCAACACCTTGGGAAGAGGAGCTTTCTGCTGTGCTCTTCAAAAATTATATATTTCTGTAAGTGGAAGAATATTACATGCTTTTTAGTAAATGAGATCTATTTTTACACAATAAGAGAGCCTGTATGGAAGATACACTGATAGGATGGGACATTGAATGAAGGCTAAAGAGTTTAGTCTGCTTTTCTGTATTGTATTCTTAATAGTTTGTTTCATTTTCCATCATTTACTAGTGAATCTTCAACATTTGAGACTGTAACTAACATTCCTTCATTTACAGATACAATATATGGTGTCTAGATGATCAGCTGGGATGGAGAGTGTCACCTAATCCTTCTCTTCGTGAGTTTAAAGGTGTTTCCTCCCTGATACAGCTGTGATGAACCATTGACATCAGAGTTGTGCCTTCAGCTGACCTGGCATACAAGCTTTTCAAATTACATGTGGCATCAGTCACCAGAAAGATTCACTGCAGTAAATCCTTTTCCTGCAGATGTTTTATTTATATTTTTTCCTTGAAACAGATTAAATATTTAGCAGGTAGAAACTTTTCCCTTACCTGCTTCTGAGTACCACTCATCATTTCTTCATTTATTTTTGCTGCCCGTTTTTTTTCGATGCAACCCCCAGTCGACCTAAGAATCTGGTTTGCCAAACTTGTCCTCGAAGGCCGCATACCCTTTACTGGTGGATACGCACTCTGCTGGATCATACACTGCAAATTTGTTCCAGATCAGTCTGTTACATGTAATCACTTTTCTATTGAGTTAGCTGGAGCAGATGAGGTGGTGTTTGTGTCAGCTAGTGGTTTTTTTAAGTTGGCAGGGAGACAACAGCTGATACTTGATCTGTCTGAAAGCTGTGTTGTGAGCAGATGGTACCTGCCTGGTTAGGCCCAGTGACTGCCAATTTCCAGGCAATCCAACACAGTTTTTGAACCAGCAAAGTGATTTTATACCACAGTGGTATGTTTTGCCACATAGCTCAGGGTTTTCTTTTATCCAGTACTTGGTGCCTGGATTTACTGAACGGCCTAACTCCAATGTGGTGAGTCTCCATCACAGTTTCCATTTGTTCTTTGAACTTTGAACAGTCCTTTGTGATCCAGCTGAGTCCTGTTGTTTGATCGTTGCTCCTCACATGCTTACCACTGTTTTTTCAATAAAATCTATTGGTAATAAAGGTGATAATAACAAGTTGGCACTGACTGTAGACTTTTTTGAAGTTCTTCCATTTTCTCAAATCTTGGTCAATGTGTTTATCATATGTAAAGACTTTTCTGTTTATCATCTGATAAAACCCCTTCCAGGAAAATATCAGGTAAAATGGAAGATGTCAATGCTGTTATATGAAATATTTGTAAAACAAACCAAAATGACTCTTCTTTGTTAATTTCCCTTTTGTATTAGTCGTCAGCCCTTAGACTCTTGGAGTTTTGAAACTATGTTAAAAAGAATCTCTACTTCTGTTTGTGTTGGTACTGATTACTTTATAGGGTTGCTTTTCAAAACATGCTGCTGTAGAATGAGTACATGTATAAGCCTGCTAGCTGCTTTGTTGAAGTCAGTTATCAAGCTCTTCTTATCGCTGTTTTATATCAGTAATATCTGTTATACTTATTTTGCCCTTAAGTAGCTGGAAGGGCTCCCTGTCTTGTAATAAAACTGGTTTTGGTTCAAATTGGTGAAGTACAGCTTACCCAGGTTGTTAGGAAAACCCTAGCAATTTATTTTTAGAAGTCTGTATTGCCTTCTTAACGCTGTGTTTTCATGCCTAAAACTTAGTAGCTATGATAGGGATCGAACAGAGGGATTGTAAGGAAACAGATGTCATCAGAAGCAAAGCAGAAAAACATCCTTTATGCCTAGTTTGCCTAAATGGTTGAAGTGATATTTGATGTTTTATACTTGATTAAATTACCTTGGTGTCATTTTACCTCCATGATTCCTGAGCAGTGTAGGAGTTTGCCTGGGGTGTGTGACAAGCGAGATGGGAACTCATCACAAATAAGTCACGAAGCCCTTGGCTGTCATGTTGGTGCTTTTCCTGTGGGAAATGCTGGGAGGCAGCAATTTCGGCTCTGGAGGCAAGGAAGAAGAGACAAGGAAGAGAGGACCCTCTGAAGGCCCTATGAAGTTATTTTTCTGAGGAAACAGGAAAAATTTAGGGGAATGCTGGGGCATCTCAGGGGTAACTATCATGCTGAGTCTTGAGCATTAGCAGTTGTTTGTATTCCCTGGTGCATTTTGGTATCGGACATTTAATTTCTGGCGTTCTCATGAAAAACACTATTCACTTCAAACTAAACTTGGACAAGATTTTTAGCATTTTGTTTCTTTTGTTTGAGAATGGCATTATTCTCTCTTGGTTGTGTAGAAACTCCTGCCCCTTAGTGTAGCTCAGTGTCTTCCCCCCTGTGTCAGCAGGCACAAGGTTTGTGTGGTTTGTTGCAGTCCTTAGGCATTACTGGCATTGCCTTACGCTTACTCGCTGTTGCGCTTCTCACTTCCCACAGGTTTTTCTGTAGGTATTGTTTTGTCTTCTTTAAAGCATGCCATTGACAAGTAAATTGAAGTCTGTGGCATTCTCCTCAAGGTTTAAGATGGTCTGCTCCACATTTAAAATCTTTGAGGATTTGTAAAGCAGATAAATAGAGGAGGTAGGGGAGAATTACCCACGACAGTGGAGGTGGGAGGGAGTGGAGAAGCAAGGACCTGTACCTGTCCTCTGCTGTTTCTCAGCACAAATGTGTCCTGGAGATCATGTTTTGGAAGGAGAGGTGGGATGAGGAAAGGCTTGATGCAGTATGGTCTGATCTTAACATTGTTCCATGATCTTTTATAATTAGCTCCTTACGGGTTTACATTATCTGTTAGATCGTGACCTGCTTCAAACTTTTTCCATTTGAGTCTCTCAATGGATATTCTCGTATGACTTGTCTGATGTCATACAAATTTGATGTTTGGCCTCAATTTGATGTTTGGCCATGGCGCTTTGATACAGTTCTACTGGAAATCTCTGCTGTACTTGTTTGGAGTGACGGGGATTGGTTTGTCAGCCCAACCTTGACCTTCATATTTTTGCTGCGAGAGTAACATTTTCTAATAATTACTTTTGTCTGTTTTCTAACATTGGAACAGTAGTTATCTTAGAAATTTTAGCATATGTTTGTGCAGTGAAGATAAAGATGACCGCATCAACACTGACTTCCAAACACTGATTCCTTACTTTCATATCTACCTGATTAGGTAGCATTTGATGCAGTGCCCAAATTCTTGTAACTAAGGAGCGTTACAGTTGGTGTTCTGTATGGAAATTTGAAAGTGCCTCTGCTGCTTAGTTGTTGCTATTTTATATTATCTAGTGCCCTTATTTTAGGCAGGTAGTTGCACAAACCCTCAGTGCATTTATCTTCTAATTAGGGAGTGTGGGTCATCCCAGCCATGTGAGGAAAGGTAGTTTCCAAACATACTTCACATCATAGGATTATGAATTGGAGCTAGAGGACTGCCCTCCTTCCACCAAATCCCTTGCACTTCTGGTCAAGTTAGTGCTCTTGCACATGCAGCCTTTATATGATGTAGCTCTGCACCCACTTCACAATAACTGTGGAAGAACAAGATGCTGTGTTTTTAAAGATGCTTTGGAAAACCAAAAAAATGTTTGGTGACTTACAAATACTCTGCGGGGTACATCGTAGGTTATGTCATCAACTGCAGCATCTCCAAGATTATGTAAAACAAGTCTGTAGGAATCTTTGAAGTTTCCCATCTCTGCTCTGCTCCACGCTGGTTTTCAGTTTGAACATGTATACACATGGTTTATGTATCTATTGTTTTATTCAAATGTGTTTTGGACTCCTCTTTCCCATATTTCCCCTATTGTTAATTTTGCAGTGAAACTCATGCCACATCTAGCACTTCTGTAGCTGGATAAGCGGTTGTATTTGTTCATTTACGGGCCCTAAGTACTCATGTTTTAGTTCTGGTTGCTTCTGAAAGAAATTTATTGAAAACAGAATACCTAAAAGCCACGATTATTAACCTCCATTTATATTGCTAACATTCTGTACTGGTTATATTTCTGGGAAAAAAATAGATTTTACATATTTTGACTGTCATTGCTTGCTTCGCTTATTCAGTTTCCTAATGTGTATAGTACACTTCATGCTTTTTCTGCTCATAGTTACCATTTAAAAAATGCTGAACCTGGAAGCTAATACTTTTACATTATTATTTCTCATCAGAACAGTATTTTCAAAATTGGAAATGCAGAAGATCAGGTTTTTCTGTCCATTTGTAGTACATAAGCAAAAAGCTACTTCTTAAAAACAATGCCATTCAGCTGCTCCTATATGAAATTGGAGTGCCCTAATGTATGCTCGGCACTTCGGACAGAAAGGCCATCTCTTTACTTCTGCGTGGTATTTATGGCTTCTGTATATATTTCTGTGTCTTTGACTGCCTTGTGCTGGGTGTTTGTGCACTAGGCATAATGAATTCATATAAGCTCTTTCCCAGTTTCAGATATTCTGACCTTCAGAATGCTCAGAAGAAGTAAGTAAAGGGATTGATAGCAGTGGTGATTTTGCTTGTATTTAGATCTCATAAGTGTTTAACAGAACATTGAATAAGTGATTCTTATAGCACTTATGTTTTGTTTAGTAAGCTCATTCCTATTTCAAAAAATAGGGAGATTGAGGTAAAGAGTTGAAGAGGCCTGTTCAGGGTTGCAGAGCGTGTCATAATACACGTTAATAATTTAAAATGTTCTGCATTTGAAACACAAGGATACATGTGTTTCTGATATGTATCTGCATTGTTTAATGCAGTATTAGGCAGCAGGACAGTGTAATTGCTTGCCTGTTATGTTTGGAATATGATTGTGCAGTCCCTTTGAAGAAAAAGGTTGTGTAGTAGTAATAATAATAATAGGTTTGATATCAAGAATAGAAACTTTTTTCAGGTTGGGCAACTGGAAGAAATTGTGCTCTGAATTTTTTGCATTTAAATTTAACAATGTTTTACCAATATTTTTAGAAAAGATGGTTATTGTTTTCTGTGATTCTAGTTATCTTACAGCTCATACTGATTCTGAAGGAGACTCCGAGGAAGAAAAGGAACGTACGAAATCACCCAATGCCATTGTGAAATCAGAAGAAGAAGAGTTATTTAATCTTTTACAGCAGGTGGACAATTTGCACAAGGGTTCAGAGGATGATAAAAGGGAGGGCTTCAGACTGCTGCTTGAGAAAGATGACAAGGTATCAATGGGTAAACAGTATTATGTTGCTATTAACTGATGCTTTGTACTATTTTGAGAACTTCCTTAATACAAGCATTAAAATGCACTCTGGGATGGAAGATGAAATTTCATTTGTAGTTTTAAAATACAGTGAAAAATGACTATTTCAGGGTGGTTTCAGGATTCATGTTGAGTGGGCATAGAAGTTTTATCGGTTTATATCCCATCCAGGCTCAGTAACTTTGAGGCTTTGTTCAATGTGTGTATTCTTGCATGCAACAAAGAAAGATCATGGCCTTTTTTCAGTGCAAATGATACTTACTTTTGCTGGTTTTAGAATGGTCTGTGTGAGAAAGTCCTAAGGAATTAAGTAGTAACCAGACCAAGTGTTCTCAAGAAATGAAACGATAAGCCTGCGGTCTTTCAGGTGTACTTCATGTGAATTTTTCCTGTGACTTTACTGTGCACATATGTAACTCCAGATGAATTTCAAAGTGGTTTGATCTGCAGTGCTTAATTCAGTGTATCAGTTTCTTCTGATCTGGCAAATGGTAGATCTGATTATGTTTTCATTTACATATTGAAATTCCAGGAAGGTAGATGAAATACTAATGGTGAGTGTGGTGCTTATGGCATCCCTAAAGAAAGTACACATCACACTATTCAGGGGTCTGTTGTGCTTTACTGGATTACTGTATTTCCAAAAGCTGTATTCTCCTTTGTTCATGAAAAATTGGTCATCTGATTCTCACATAAACTAAAAGTACTATAGAAGGATGCAAAATAACCACATTTAAGGTACCCTGCTTTAAGCATTATGAAAGGAAACTCTTGAAATCACATTCTGAACTGTTTAATTACCCACCTGTGCTCTGCTTTCAGTATGAAAACTCTGTGGACTTTCTTTGGAGACTCGCACGCGCTTATGGAGATCTGTTTGAGATGACTACTGATGCTGAGGAGAAGAGGAAGTATGTTACTGATGGTAAGCAGGGGAAAAACATTGGCGCAGAATGCCATCTGAATGTAGTGAAACATGCTTTGACCTTGGGTTGAGTTTTCCAGTCCAAGCAATTTCCAGTTCAGTAAATGGGAGCATTTGTTTTCTAATAATGTTTTGTGCAATAAACTGCTACTGTATACAGCTTCAGTCTGTGCTTTCCTCACTGGTGAGATCCAAAATGGGTGAAGGAGAACTATTGTGGGTCATAATTGAAAGCTCTTGACTCTGGATGGTGCCTTAAAATCCTGTATTCTGTTGAGAATCAGACAAATGCTGTCAGCACAGTTTCCTAATTACATTTTTGGGAGAGCAAGAGGAATAAATAAATGCCAGGGCAAATTCAAGGTTTATTTTTCTGCCTTCCTGTGGCAAAGGAATGCTCCTGCACATCAGCAGCCTCTTGTGTGGTGATGGTGGAATGAAACTTTGTGAATCTGGAAAAACTATTGACCAGAAACAGAAGTCGTGTGTGACGACAACTGATGTTGTTTCTAGGCATCTCTCCCCATGTGTCCTGCTTGACAGCTTAACCTCAACAAGGTTCTGATTTTCTTCTTCACAGCACTTTTTCTCTGTTGCTTGTAAAAGCATTGCCCTTTCTTTCACTGTCTGGTGCATATTGGCTAGAGGAACAGTTTACATTTCCCTCTTTGTTTTGGGCCTTCTTCTCTTTAAAAGATAAACTCTACATCTTTTCTATTCTTACAATAGTCCTGCATCTGGGAATACTTCTCTCTCTCTGTTTCTCCATTGCCTCTCCCTTTTTTGCTGCACCAAATTCAGGCTTTATCCATGTATGCCAAGTTTGGGTTATTTTGCCTTTTGTGACTTCATTTTTTCTGCTTTTTGTTCTATCAGCAGTGACAACATTACTAACAAAGTGGTTTTGGCTGCACTTTGTCATCTTAAAGGCAGTGTCATTCCTTTGTGCTGTCATTACATATTCCATAACCAACCTCAGCTTGTCCAGCATTCTTGTCCTTATTTATCCTTTTGTCGTCAAAATACTCACGAAGCCTTGCTCTGTCTTAGCTACTTAACTGATACTGTCTTTGCTTTAGTAGCTTCTTTGTATGGAAATCGGGCAGTGCAGTGAGGATATGACACAAACTGAATGACAACAGTAAACTCTGTTGCTTTTACCACTGGCTACGTTGAGCCTCAGCCGATGAGAGAGAATGGCTTAGCAGAAGGCAGGGAGAGATAAAGAATGATGGAATGAACTTGGGTTGTAGGTGTTGAGTAACCAGCCTAGTTTGGCTCATTCTCGTGAAGTGGTGGGTGACGGCAGCCTTTTTCATCTCAGTTTTTGGAAGTGGTGCAGAGGGATTGAGACTGCAGGGGAGCTGGCAGTGGTTTCGTGGGGTTTTTTCATTCTGCTGCGTTGGAGGACTGTGTATGCTGTTCTTTGTTTTTATGAAGTTAATTTGCAGTACCAAAATGTTGGTGTGGCTTAATTGGCTGCAGCTGAGACGTTGCAAACAGCAAGTGTCTCCTCTGAACTCCTTACTGGGAACATGGGTTTGATCAAATCACCTACTGTCAGCTTTATTCAGTTAAAAGTGGAACTTAATGGAAGTCTTTGTGCTGGAAAGGAGCTTCAACTAGTTCATTCCTGTGTGCAAGGCAGGAATCAGCTTTGCTGGTTCTTCTGGCAGGTGCTTCTCTAACCTGCTTTTAAGGGTCTTCAGTCTGACAGACAACACAACCTCCTTTGGTGGTCCAGCCCAATCTTTCCCTGATTGAGTTGCATCTGAATTAGATTTTAAGAGAAGATACTGAAATTTCTCCCACATAGATACATGTATACATGCACATACTGATACATGTATGTATGGGTATGTAAATGATGTAAAGCCAGGGTGTTACATTGTCCATCTGAATGTTTATAAGAACAGGAAGCAACAATTTCTTCTTTGCAGCTAGGGTATATCAGGTTGCTTCGTTCTTGGGAATTGCCTAAAACGTGGAAGACGACGATACATCCTTTAATGTATTGTATTCCACTTACAGGAAAGATGAAAGCTGAAAAGGCTGTTCAGCTGGATTCCAGGAGTGCTGAGAGTCACCAGTGGTAAGTTTGAGAAAGTGTGCATTTTTGCAAATACACTTGTATGTATTTATCAAATCAACAAACAAAAAAACCCCTGTATTTGGCACTAAATAGTATGCACAGGAAGTTAGGCTTATCGTGCTGCAGTTTGACATCAAAATCATAGATTAGTCATTAATATATTTTCTTAGTTTTATGGAACTCAGTTATCATCAGTTGCAGCTAAAGATTACATTCAGGTATTCTATGAAGCACTTCCTATAGCATGTGAAACAACTCAATAACCATACTTCAGTACGTGTCATGAAATGTCGACGGGAATATTTGCATAAACCAGTATATTATTGCTCAGAGAAGCTATAGTTTTCCATTTACCTTCTCTTTTAACACTTTGCAAAATAGTGTCATTTGACCTTGCGTTTTGTCCTCTCTTTTACTTGTAAGACTCTAAATTCTAATAATTAAAAACAGACAAGGAGAGGACTATGGAAGTTTCAGTTAACTTCTCAATTTTTGTTTTGTCATATCACACTCCTCCAAGCTTGGCACTTGGATTAATTTTGTAATTCTGCTGAGTTCTAGCTGATAGTTCCTCACCTTACTATTTCATTAATCGGTTTTACTGAGCTCCTGATTTCTTTTCTAGTATTAGCTATTTCTTTCCATTTTGCTTTCTATGTTCTTCATTGATTTTGTCATTACACACGTAGAACGTGATTTCACTTAACTTCTATATATCTAGACCAAATCCTTTTAGCCCAGGCTCCCTTCACAATCTAAAAAGAAGTAGCCACTTCTGGAGTGCAGTTCATCTGAGTCCATTTTGCCCATCTGCATTAGGGTGAGATGAATTTCTCCTGAGGTTCAGTTGACAGCATCTCCATTGTGAATAAAGGAAGCACATGTCAGCTTGCTCAGGCTTAGGTGCTTGATTAGGTACAGATGTTTCCCTTTAGGTGACTCTCTGGCTTGGTGTCTCTTCTCTAAACTTCAAAGATGGCTGTGTTAGTGTTCACACTGTGTTCCTGTAAGCGTTGCCATATTTCTGTGAATCTTTTTTTCCTTCTGTTTATAACAACTAGTGGTCCAAACACCCACTTTGTAACAACTACACGTGGTGTGCTGCAGGAGTCTTGACTAAGCTTCGCTGTCACAGACAGATGTGCATTCACTCTTAGATGGTGCCTGCCTGGAAGTGAAGCCTTAGCCCTGGGTGGCTATAATGTGGCGGTGTAATATAGGAGCCTTTGCTTTTGGCCTTACCCAGCTGTTTGTTAAATCCTGTCAGCTGGAGGTTGCCACTGTGGCAGCAAAACTAACAGAAGAGGATCATCTGAGCATCGCTCCTCAGCGCAAGGGGATTTGAAGCCCATTGAACACCTGCTGGAAGCAGTGTACAGCCATTTCTGCTGTTTGCCTGAGCACAGCCATGGTCACTTCTTCAGGGTAGTGCTGGTGTACCCCTCTCAGCTGGAGCTGTGTGTATAAACAACCACAGAATCGCATGAAAGCGCGAGTCCTGCCCCTTGCTTCATCCCCAGCCCACAGGACTGACAAAATCTCCTAGTATAAATACAACTTCACTGGCAGAAACTGCTGGTAAAAGCTTACATGTTGTTCAGTGAGAGGTAGGTGGTCTGCTGGACTTCAGATGTGAGATCCTGTACTGGCAGGCACATCTAGCGAGGGAAGAATTACGAGTGTAAGGAGATGTGTTCCAGAGGTTAGCTGAGAAAGCCTATTTGAGAGGTTTAAGAGGAAAATCTTACATTGTAAGCTACTGCTTCTTGGAACAGGCAGTGGATTTCTGTATGGCTTACAGTTTTCATCCTTCGTGTATCTGAGTTGCAAGTAAATGTGAGGGTTTTATCAGTTCACTGTTGAACTGGTGACTTTCTAGTGGTGTAGATGGACACCACAGATGTGAATAGTTTGGTATGATTTTTTTTTTCTGAGTATCTGCTTGTCTGTCTTTTCTGAGGTCTTTCTGACTTGATGCATAACTTTTCCAGTGTGATGCCCCATACTGGTTATGTGCTGTAACTGGGGCTCTGAATACTGGGCAGAATGGACTTTCATGCTCCAGACAGAATTCTGGATGTTTTTGTCTAGCCTGCCAGCTGTTGTTCAGTCTGTGATCCCAGCAGATCCTTTTCTGTTGTGCTGCTGAATCAGGTGGACTGATTTTGTAACTGTCCTTTCTTTTTTCCTTCCTTGGTAGAGTACTTTACACCCGTTTCATGGACTTCATGTTGATTTCAGACCATTTTTCGGTCTTATTGAGGCCACTTAGGTTTGTAAATGCTTGCATCCCCTCCCAGACTACAATTGTGTTTTATAAGTGTTTTGTGGGTTTTTTGAAATCATTGACTTCAGTGATGAAATTATTGGAGGATAATGGACCCAGCACAAAACCTTGTGGAACACCTGTAACGATGCTCAGGTTCACATGAACCTGGTTCTGCCACGATCTCTACGGGTGACTTAATCTAAATGATCTTTCCATGGTTAGATTTTGAGGAACGTCAGGTTGGACAAAGTCAAAGGCCACATAAAGGTCCAGTTATATCCCACTTGTTGCATTCCTCTAATATTCCAGGCTTGCTTATCTTGTCAGAAAAGAAAAATATTTTTGTTTGATAACGTTTGTTTATGACAAATAATGTGTTAACGGGTTTGTATGCTTCTGCATTTACAGAATAATTTACCCTGGAATGTTTTCAGGTTAGGCAGGTTTGTCTGTAACCTCTATCCTTTCCTTTCATGTTTCTGTAGATAGCAACTATGTTTGCCTTTTCCCTTTCTGCATTTCCCAGGAGATTTTGGTAGTCAGCTACATGTCAGATCTGGATTATTTGAGTCTGGTTAATGCAAATGTATCTAATTTATCTAAACATTATTTTATATGTTAATCTCCATGAACAGGAAATAAGACTTCAGGGAATATTTCCTGTAGAAACTGTGCTCTCAAAATTATATGCAAACAGAATTTTGCCTAAAATCATAAATAGATAGGAGTGTGTGTGAATAGAAAACAGTGCAACACAATTAAAGCATGAAAAAAATGTGAAAGTAATATGAAATCCATAGTATAAAAGGATAATGAGAGAACCTAAAACTTAAAACGGAAAATAGAACAAATATTTATAGAAAACTCTAGGGTCACTAGCAGGTGAAAAATGGTGTACCAGTTTTACCTAAGTTTAGAGATGAAGGGCAGTACCCGAGTGCAGATTGACACCGAAATGTACTGTCTCCATTATATGTGAGCGAGGGACTGTCCTCCTCTTACAGGGGATGGAGACTTGGTAGGCAGGGTGTGCCGTTTGACTTGCCAGGGTGTTTGTGTAGCATGGCAGATAGCATACAGGACCTTCTGGGGTCTGTATTGTCCAGGCCAGCAGCTTGAAGTGGTGGGAAGCCCCAGGGCACCTCCAGGTGGCAGTAGGCGCCTGTGTCCAGGCAGGGATCCTGTGAGCTGGAGAGGGTCTCCATTGACTGTAGTAGGAGGTGAGATGCAAGCTCAGTGTGAAACCAGTCCTGTCTCAGACCAAAATCCTTCCTTTCGTCTCACCACCACCATAAAATTTTCTTAAGCTGTATAAGGCAAATAATCCCAGCCTGTGTAAAATAAACCCTTCTGTTGGTTAGACAGTATACTAATTTTTCATGTGAGGTTATCTCACCATGTATTAGCTACTGATGAGGAAACTGGCTCTCTGACCTTGACTAAGAAAAGCTTTGGTTGACTTCTTACTAATCTGCACTTTCTTATTTCTGAGGGGTTTTGATATTTCCTATCAGCACAACTGAGGTTTTAACTCGTCTTTGGTATACCTGCTGTCTATATTGTCCGCTCATGCATTATTTCTAATGTTCACTTAAACGGTTTAATACGTTATGGCTTAAATGAGTGAGGATTAAATGATAGGCCTATTCTTTTCCTGGTCCTGTTCCTTGCTCTCTACTTACAGTTAACCCTCGAGGAGGAGGGGGAATATAAGCAAAGAAAGCCTTGTTGGTTTAATTTTTTGTCATTATTTCCTCATTGCTAATTGTTCTGTACTTCCATTTATGTTTCTCTTCCTTCTGCTGTATTTATAGATCCTCTTTTTATTGCCTTGTATGTCTCTTGTGAGTTGCAATTCAGATTACATGCAGCACTTCTAATATACATGTATCTTTAAATATGCCATCCTGTTATATATATTCTGATATATATGACAGCCACCCAATATCCCTAGCTTAGCCATATGCTCCTATTTTCACTTTCAGGGCCAATTACTTTCAGATTTGTAAGTCAATAGAGAACACCTCATCGGAGCTGAATTAGTCTTTAAAAGTATTTCCTGCCTTTTCTCTGCATCAAAAAGGGTTATTTCCTGCTCTGACTTTGAATATTGTCTCTTAATAATTGTGCTATAGAATTTCTCTCCTATGACGAAAGGCTGCAAGAATTGGGCTTGTTCAGCCTGGAGAAGAGGAGGCTCCCAGGAGACCTCATTGCAGCTTTCCAGTATCTGAAGGGGCCTACAAGGGTACTGGGAGAGGACTTTTGACAAGAGCCTGTAGTGATAGGACAAGGGGTAATGGGTATAAATTGAAATCAGGGAGGTTTAGATTAGATGTCAGGAAGAAATTCTTCACGGAGAGGGTGGTGAGGCACTGGAACAGGTTGCCCAGAGATGTTGTGGATGCCCCATCCCTGGATGTCTTCAAGGCCAGGCTGGATGTGGCTCTGAGCAACCTGGTCTAGTGGAAGGTGTCCCTGCCCATGGCAGGGGGGTTGGAACTAGATGGTCTTTAAGGTCCCTTCCAACCCAAACCATTCTATGATTCTATGATTCTTATAGCGTGGCAGTTTTTAATAATTTAGTTTTCTTCATTAGAACCCTGAATGACAACTGTTCCAGTAGAGCGCTAGTGTAGCCGGAGTTACCCTGGCAAAAACATCCCTTTTCCAGAGCATGGTTTTTCCTGGTGTGTGGAACTGCTGTAAGCTGTCTGGGAAAGAGAATGTATCTT